CCTCCACTGGGGATCGAACCCGGAACCTCAGGACTACGAATCCGAAGCGCTGTCCACTCAGCTGTCAGGCGCCAGCTGAGTGGGGGGGGGCCGTACACGAGGCTTCCGCTCCTGGAAGCCTGGACTACAGTTTACTATAGTTTACTATAGTAAACTCAGTAAACTCAGAATATTCACCTTTAGGCGAGTATACCCTCCTTCTGCTCCCCTTTCAAGTTCAAGTATGTTTATTGAGACAAGAAAGAAATACATCTCAAAGGGATAGAGTAGCTTAGGCTATTTCTAAATCCTGCTCCTCTCTTACCATAGACATGATCACCACATACAAGATTCATAAAGGAATTGATAGGGTAGATAAAGACAGTTTATTTAACACAAAGGGGGATACAGGTGAAAATTGAGTACCCAAATGAGCCATTAGAAAGAACTTTTTCATTTTCAGTACTAAACAGCTGGAATGCATTAGGCAGTGATGTGGTGGAGGCTGACTCCATACACAGTTTCAAACGTAGATATGACAGAGCCCAGTAGGCTTAGGAATCTATACACCAGTTGATTGACAGTTGAGAGGCGGGACCAAAGAGCCAGAGCTCAACCCCCGCAAGCACAACTAGGTGAGTACACGTGATAGCTCACAGAGCTTACATAGACCCACAGAGCTTACAGAGACCCACAGAGCTTACAGAGACCCACAGAGCTTACAGAGACCCACAGAGCTTACAGAGACCCATAGAGCTTACAGAGACCCATAGAGCTTACATAGACCCACAGAGCTTACATAGACCCACAGAGCTTACATTGACCCACAGAGCTTACAGAGACCCACAGAGCTTACATAGACCCACAGAGCTTACATAGACCCACAGAGCTTACATAGACCCACAGAGCTTACATAACCCCACAGAGCTTACAGAAACCCCACAGAGCTTACAGAGACCCCACAGAGCTTACAGAGACCCCACAGAGCTTACAGAGACCCCACAGAGCTTACAGAGACCCACAGAGCTTACAGAGACCCATAGAGCTTACAGAGACAAACACAACCTTCCCTGTCATTAGTGACCAACCAATCTAACGTGATTACAATCAGCTGTAGGAATCAGCAGGGATCGTAGAAATCAACCCACACGACGGAAAATATTGTAAACAAAGATTAACGGGAGCCACTGAACTGACTTGAGTTATGGCGTACGATTTGCGGGTGAATAAAAAAAACAAAAACAGGATTCGAGTCCACCGCCCTGCTCCAAAGATTTTCTCACGCTGAGAGAGTTAATAGCAGTCTGGTCCATGCATTTTTTTGGTCACTTTAGTTATAATATATAAAATGGCAGTAGTTAAGAATAGTAATTAATGTGTCAGCATTGTCTTTATATCGGCCGAGAAAGCTAGTTAGGCTACAGGGAAGATATACGTGATCACAACATATAAAGTATACATATATAGAAAGGTATAACAGAACAAAGTGAGTGTCTGGTACACAATCAAGTTATTACTTACAACTTAACATCAAATGAACTTTGACTCTGAATCTATTTTTAGATTAAGTCGTGTTTGAGAGCCGAGCAATATTGAAGGCCTATGTAGGGGGGGGGGGAAGGGTTGAGCAATATTGTAGGCCTATAGGGGGCTATGCAATGCTGTAGGTCTTTTTGGGGGAGGCGAGCAATACAGTAGGCCTATATGTATGCTTGTTCCAGCCAAAACCCGTTCAGAGTTTCTACACGTAAAACTGGTTTCACCGCCAGTGCTTGCAGCTAGTTAGCACTGCAGAAGCACTGCAATCACCCACTGTGTTTGAACGCTTAGTAACTCGCCACTGTAGCACTGTATCAGCTCTCCAGAATACAGGTTCAAAGCATTGTATAAATATATGTCTGTGGGGTTAGAAAATAGACCTGATCAACTTGTTCGCCAGCTTGGTCGTTGATCAATTGATCAATAGATCGTCATTGATCTACTGATTGTACGGACGATCAATAGATCGTTAATTGTTGAGCAATAGATCGTCAAGCGTTGATTAATAGATCATAGCTTGACGATGAGACACGATTGCTGGACTGGTTGACCAGTCCAGCCACGAGGAGGCCTGGGCGATGACCGGGCCGCGGGGACGCTAAGCCCCGAAACCAACACAAGGTAACCACAAATTAGGTAACGGAGGAAGAATTACTTTCAACAGTGCTGGAATCATCATTACCTTCAACAGTAGAATCATCTGAAGACTTTTCTAACGGCACCTCATATTTTCCCCTTAACACAAATTCATCACTTGCAGGCGATGAGTCACAATAACGTGGTTAAATTATGTTGACCAGACCACACACTAGAAGGTGAAGGGACGACGACGTTTCGGTCCGTCCTGGACCATTCTCAAGTCGACGTGAGAGTGGTCCAGGACGGACCGAAACGTCGTCGTCCCTTCACCTTCTAGTGTGTGGTCTTGTCAACAAATTCATCACTTGTTACAGGCTTAATTACCTTACGTCAAAAGTATTTACAGAAATACGTTCTTACGTCTCTACGTCTGAGAGACTTAAGTCTTACGTCTCTACGTCTGAGAGACTTAAGTCTTTCGTCTCTACGTCTGAGAGACTTAAGTCTTACGTCTCTACGTCTGAGAGACTTAAGTCTTACGTCTCTACGTCTGAGAGACTTAAGTCTTACGTCTCTACGTCTGAGAGACTTAAGTCTTACGTCTCTACGTCTGAGAGACTTAAGTCTTACGTCTCTACGTCTGAGAGACTTAAGTCTTACGTCTCTACGTCTGAGAGACTTAAGTCTTACGTCTCTATTCTGACCTGTATAAATTATTATTTCAAGAGTTCATAACATTCACAAAAACAAACTATTTTCTTAATCCAACATAACTTTAGCATTCGGAATTTTTACATCAATTTCAGAGCAATCTTTTAAAAAAAAAAGACCTTACCAAAAAGACTATAAAGATGAATCTGTTATTAAACTTTACAAAGACTAAAAACAAGAATGACTTTCAAGACCTGACAAAGTAACTTGAACTCTTAAAACTTCGTTTTAAGACTTTACAAAAAAAGACTATAAATACGATTTATAGCCTATTTCAATTTCAATCTCTTCCCTAACACTGTATCAGATCATACCATTTAACCTCACAGGGAGCCGGTCGGCTGAGCGGACAGCACGCTGGACTTGTGATCCTGTGGTCCTGGGTTCGATCCCAGGCGCCGGCGAGAAACAATGGGCAGAGTTTCTTTCTCCCTATGCCCCTGTTACCTAGCAGTATAATAGGTACCTGGGTGTTAGTCAGCTGTCACGGGATGCTTCCTGGGGGTGGAGGCCTGGTCCTCCGGGCCGCGGGGACACTATAAGCCCCGAAATCATCTCAAGATAACCACAGTACCTCTCCACCATATGGTTGTAGGGCGGGGTGCGCCACACGCCACACTGTGTTTGCAAGTATACTTTTCTTCTGGGTTACGTTCAAGACTAAAAGTATAATTGCTGGTTGGTCAGTAAGCTATTGTGGTGGCCTTGATAATCCTCCAGAGGTTGGTAGACCTTAAGCTCAAGCTCGCTCGCTCGCTCTCTCTCTCTCTCTCTCTCTCTCTCTCTCTCTCTCTCTCTCTCTCTCTCTCTCTCTCTCTCTCTCTCTCTCTCTCTCTCTCTCTCTCTCTCTCTCTTACACCCCTTACCCCCCACACAGCGTGTCTTCCGCCCCCCCTTGGTATACCCTTGTTCTACTCCTTAGTATACACCCTAACCCATCCCCCCTTTCAGATACCATTATCTTCCCCTATTAGTAGTGCTATATAGTCGTAAAGGCTTGGTGCTTTCCCCTGATAATTCCTTTCTTCCCCTATTAGTAAATCTATGCTATAGTATACCCATGCTCTCCCACTCAGTATACCCACGCTCTCCCACTCAGTATACCCACGCTCTCCCACTCAGTATACCCACGCTCTCCCACTCAGTATACCCACGCTCTACCCTTGGAGCAACAACAATACCCAAACTGAGTGCTGGGCATCTCTTAAAGTTTACCACTATCCCAACCTTGTCGATGACGTAATGTTTACCAAGATCAGCTGATGGCGCGCCATGCCATAGCACTATTCATTTTGCTCTAATAACCGAGACACACCCAGCAATCTCTAGCATTACTTCTAATTACCCACCACAGCCTTCACTAATGGCGATATCGTGGCAACAGAAATAAAGCCCGGCTGAATTTAATACGTGCGGAAAACCGAATGCGAAACCGGACTAGCCTAGCCTGGAGGTTGGCCGAAGAAAGCTCTTGGGAGGTGATTGCCGGTTGGAACGGTCTAGCGTCTGTCAAGAGCGGCCACCCATGCTTCCAGAGCGGTGGGGGGGGGGGGAGGGAGGGAGGGAGGGGGGCTATCATCGTTGTAATCTATATCTCTTACGTGTTGGAGAAGGTGGAGCAATTGACCTTAAGACGAACCGTTCATGTTCAGTTTTTGTTGTTGGCGGGCTGGCGTGATGATGAGTGTGGCGGGCTGGGTGATGATGAGTGTGGCGGGCTGGCGTGATGATGAGTGTGGCGGGCTGGCGTGATGATGAGTGTGGCGGGCTGGCGTGATGCTGAGTGTGGCGGGCTGGCGTGATGATGAGTGTGGCGGGCTGGGTGATGATGAGTGTGGCGGGCTGGCGTGATGATGAGTGTGGCGGGCTGGCGTGATGATGAGTGTGGCGGGCTGGCGTGATGATGAGTGTGGCGGGCTGGGTGATTTGTTGCGTCCTTATGGTTGAGCAAATAAACAGTTGGGCCGTAAGGGAATACGACGAGCAGCGGGTAAAAGAAAGCGAGGCAGGTAACCATGCACATCGGACACGTACAAACGCACACCGGACACATACAAACGCACACCTGACACGTACAAACGCACACCTGACACGTACAAACGCACACCTGACACGTACAAACGCACATCGGACACATACAAACGCACACCTGACACATACAAACGCACACCGGACACATACAAACGCACACCGGACACATACAAACGCACATCGGACACGTACAAACGCACACCGGACACATACATACGCACACCGGACACATACAAACGCACATCGGACACATACAAACGCACACCGGACACATACAAACGCACATCGGACACATACAAACGCACACCGGACACATACAAACGCACACCGGACACATACAAACGCACACCGGACACATACAAACGCACACCGGACACATATAAACGCACACCGGACACATATAAACGCACACCGGACACATATAAACGCACACCGGACACATATAAACGCACACCGGACACGTACAAACGCACACCGGACACATATAAACGCACACCGGACACATACAAACGCACATCGGACGCATAGAAACGCACATCGGATACACACAAACGCACACCGGACACATACATACGCACACCGGACACATATAAACGCACACCGGACACGTACAAACGCACACCGGACACATACAAACGCACATCGGACACATACAAACACACACCGGACACATACAAACGCACATCGGACACATACAAACGCACACCGGACACATACAAACGCACACCGGACACATACAAACACACACCGGACACATACAAACACACACCGGACACATACAAACACACACCGGACACATACAAACACACACCGGACACATACAAACGCACACCGGACACATACAAACACACACCGGACACATACAAACGCACACCGGACACATACAAACACACACCGGACACATACAAACGCACACCGGACACATACAAACACACACCGGACACGTACAAACACACACCGGACACATACAAACACACACCGGACACATACAAACACACACCGGACACGTACAAACACACACCGGACACATACAAACGCACACCGGACACATACAAACACACACCGGACACATACAAACGCACACCGGACACATACAAACACACACCGGACACATACAAACGCACACCGGACACATATAAACGCACACCGGACACATACAAACACACACCGGACACATACAAACGCACACCGGACACATACAAACACACACCGGACACGTACAAACACACACCGGACACATACAAACACACACCGGACACATACAAACGCACACCGGACACATACAAACACACACCGGACACATACAAACGCACACCGGACACGTACAAACACACACCGGACACATACAAACACACACCGGACACATACAAACGCACACCGGACACATACAAACACACACCGGACACATACAAACGCACACCGGACACATATAAACGCACACCGGACACATACAAACACACACCGGACACATACAAACGCACACCGGACACATACAAACACACACCGGACACGTACAAACACACACCGGACACATACAAACGCACACCGGACACATACAAACACACACCGGACACATACAAACGCACACCGGACACGTACAAAACACACACCGGACACATACAAACACACACCGGACACATACAAACGCACACCGGACACATACAAACACACACCGGACACATACAAACGCACACCGGACACATATAAACGCACACCGGACACATACAAACACACACCGGACACATACAAACGCACACCGGACACATATAAACGCACACCGGACACATACAAACGCACACCGGACACATACAAACACACATCGGACACATACAAACACACACCGGACACATACAAACGCACACCGGACACATATAAACGCACACCGGACACATATAAACGCACACCGGACACATATAAACGCACACCGGACACATATAAACGCACACCGGACACATACAAACGCACACCGGACACATACAAACGCACACCGGACACATACAAACGCACACCGGACACATACAAACGCACACCGGACACATACAAACGCACACCGGACACATACAAACGCACACCGGACACATACAAACGCACACCGGACACGTACAAACGCACACCGGACACATACAAACGCACACCGGACACATACAAACGCACACCGGACACATACAAACGCACACCGGACACATACAAACGCACACCGGACACATATAAACGCACACCGGACACATACAAACGCACACCGGACACATACAAACACACATCGGACACATACAAACACACATCGGACACATATAAACGCACATCGGACACATACAAACGCACATCGGACACATACAAACGCACATCGGACACATACAAACGCACATCGGACACATACAAACGCACATCGGACACATACAAACGCACACCGGACACATATAAACGCACACCGGACACATATAAACGCACATCGGACACATACAAACGCACATCGGACACATACAAACGCACATCGGACACATAGAAACGCACATCGGACACATACAAACGCACATCGGACACATACAAACGCACATCGGACACATACAAACGCACACCGGACACATACAAACGCACATCGGACACATACAAACGCACATCGGACACATACAAACGCACATCGGACACATACAAACGCACACCGGACACATATAAACGCACATCGGACACATACAAACGCACATCGGACACATACAAACGCACATCGGACACATACAAACGCACATCGGACACATACAAACGCACATCGGACACATACAAACGCACACCGGACACATATAAACGCACACCGGACACATATAAACGCACATCGGACACATACAAACGCACATCGGACACATACAAACGCACATCGGACACATAGAAACGCACATCGGACACATACAAACGCACATCGGACACATACAAACGCACACCGGACACATATAAACGCACACCGGACACA